CTCCTCCTCCTTCCAGAAGCTCATCCTGTTCCCCCCCCCTTCGCCCTTTCAGGCCTTACGGGGAAGGGCGAGACGGGGATATGAGAAAAATCAGTGAGGTACACTCGGAAAAGCCAGCGCCAAGCTGCTCTGGAGACGCAGCTGCGCGCACGGCTCGGGCATCATCTCAGGGGCGACCGACAACGAAAGCTGGGAGACACCAGCCGAGTTGTCGGCCGGAGTGGCTGGCAGAAGGAAACGCACCACAACCACAACCACCGTTGGCACCACCATCTGGGGAGCGCGAGGCTTGCTCAATTGTGGGATCCGGATGTGAAGGATGCCTCGCGACAGGTCAGAACACATGTATACCACCACCCCTGCATAAGCCCTGCGAGCACCAATGCTGACTAATCGCGGGGGCCACGTTTCCCCTCCGCCTGCTTCCTCCAACCTTCCGTCGGCCTCCGCCAGCCCAAACCGTCGATGTTTCCCGTCTTCCGCGGACCTTCCACTGGCTTCCGCCAAAGGCGAGATGCCAACACCCTGACCCCTCGAAGGCGAAACCCGTTCCGCACGCCCTAGCTGCAACTTGAGGGGAAAGTAAGCAGCAGTCTTGCATGGCTTCGCCCAGGGCCGCAGGCGACCCGAGGAGGGGGAGGAGGGGGAGGAGGAGGAGGAGGAGGAGGAGGAGGAGGAGGAGGAGGCGGAGGAGAAGATGAGGAGGCGGAGGAGGAGAGAGGAGGAGGACGGGTCGCCTGAGCCCTTCGGAGGAGCCCTCCAGGCCGTCTGTCCCCGAAATCCTGGTAGTGGCTGACCAGGAAGTGCTGCTGGATCCGGCCGACGTGCCCCCGGTTGGTGCCGCTCATGTCGGGCCAGTCGTCGGGGACCCCTCGGGCGCGGGTGCTGACTGGGCGCTCCCTCTGCGTCTGCCTGCGCCTCCGCCGAGGAGAACGGGGAGCGGACGTCCCCAGGAGCGTCCCGGTCGCGCGTGCGCGTCACACCACACGGTGAGGGCACCGGGTAAGGAACCCTTCAGCAAGGAATCCAGGGACTGGAAGCCGGTGAAGCTCCGACCGCGGATCGGCCAATGATGACACCGCCGCCCTCATCTGCTGAGGCATCCCCCAGGGCCTGAAGCCTCCTGGGCCTCTTCTTCCACGACTGCCCCCACCGTGTCGCGGAACAGCGACGGTGCGCCGAAAGAGGGAGCGGCAAGGGCTGCAGCGTCGCCGTGAGGGGGGGAAAGGGGACAGCGCCGGCCTCCTGCCGTCTGGCGTGGCGTCTGTTAGAAGTCCGAGGCGGGCCAGCGCACAGCACACGGCAGGTTCCCGTCGTGTCGGGCCCGGCGTTGGTTTTTCTGACACCGCGGGGATCGTTCGAACTTGACCGATCGGCCGTTCAAGCTTGAAGGATCGGATCGTTCAGCGACGAGCTCATTCTGGGCCACGGGCGGCGTTCAACCTCAAACGCACGCGCGGGGGTCGCCGCTTGCCGCCAGTCGACACGACGCGAAACTGCCGCAGCGGAGCAGCCGAGCGATTGCTGAGCCTGGCGCCCCCCGGATTTCCCGAGACCCAGCCGAGCCAGCACGCGCAGCTCTGAGAGGGCCCCTCGAGTGTCGGCAGCTTCGCTGGGGAACCTGTTGCAGACCAAGGAATAACAGATGCAGTCAAACTCTGTGGTGGTAATCCCAGAGGCCAGTGTCTCTACCAGGGGCGGCATGCACGCGGCTACTGGGAGCCCAGGCTCCACATGCATCAACTGTCAAGAGACAAAGAGGAGGAGGAGGAGGAGGAGGAGGAGGAGGAGGAGGAGGAGGAGGAGGAGGAGGAGAAGGAGGAGGAGGAGGAGGAGGAGGAGGAGGGGGACGAGAGAGAGAGAGACAGAGGAAGCGAGAGGACGAAGACCAGGAGGAGCAGACGAGGATGCGGACAAAGCAGACCGAAGGGAGAAGATCAGGATGAGGATGCGGAGGGAGGTGGGAGTGACTACCTACCAGACCACCCCAACCCAAGCCGAAGACCCGAATTTCGGGTTGGGGGGGGTAAGGGTTCCACATGTGTTTTTTCGATGTTTCCCGACCCCCCCCCCACTGGAAATCGAGGGTAAATCTGAGCCTTCGGGTTGGGTTGGGGTGGTTTGGTGGGTGGTGAGGGAGGGAGATGATGCGGCTGAGGATGAGGACGGCAAAAGAGGAAGCGTGACTCGTAGAAGGATGAATGAAGCAAGACACGGTGGAAAGGGAGAAGGACGAAATGAGGGATGATACGTACTGCTGGCGGTAATAAGGCTAGACTAGCTCCTGCCATCGCCCTCTACTCTTCGTTCACATTCTCCTTTCTTTGAGCAGGGACCGGCCGTCCGGGCATTCCTATAGTCCTACCACGAAAAGTTCTTAGAACCCAGCAATGTTCTAAGAACACAAACAATGTTCTTAGAACATAAGCCCGGTGTGATAAAACAGGACAGCCCCAGCCAGAAATGTTCTAAGAACATTTCGTGGAAATCACAAACAGTTTTTAGAACATTGTTTGGTGGGACTATAGGGAGCCAGGACGCTTCGCCACTGCTTGACTTCTGCGACAACGAACTCAGCATCACCGAGACCCGTGGTCGCAAATGCCAGCGTTGAAATACCATCACCGGATTGTAACACCTGCTTAAATGATGATTCGAACACAAAGAGAAGATCAAAGTTCAATCGGGTTTGGAACGGCTCAGAGACGCTTGAAAGGGTCCGGCCGGGGCACCCGTTAGCTCCCGCACCCCGCCGTGCTCGTGTCAATTGGCCAGGACATCAAGGTTATGTGGCGGCTTCTGGCCGAGGTGCAAATTCAAAAACATGGGATGTGGCGGGCGGGTCGAGCGATCCCACCCGCGCAGCGCTCCGCGTCGAATATGGATCCAATCTGCGTCAAGCGCGTTTCGGGTCAGCGCCATTTTCCCGTGGAATCCGCTCCCGGTGCTCAAGACGTCCCTGAGACCGCCAACACCGCCCTCCGAATATTCAAAGCAACCGGTCCACCAAACCTTCCACAAGTCTACGGGCACCCCTGACATTCAGCCCTCCGCGCGGCCTTCCCGTCCCTCAGTGTGCAGGTATAGGACGGCGTCGCTGTCGGGATTCTGGGACTGCTGGCAATGCTCCCAGAGCCCCTCCAGCACGTAGAATTCGTGGTGCGGTCGCGGCGTTGTCCAACTTGAGAGGAGGAGAATGGAGTGGGAGAGGGATGAGAAGGATGAGGAGGAGGGCGACGACGATCAGGGAGGAGAATTAGGAGGACGAGGGCGAAGATGAGGCGGCGAGCAGCATCAGGTAGGATGGGAGGAAGAGGGAGGCGCAGGGAGAAAGAGGCAAGAGCAGGATGAGAAGACGACGAGGACGCGGCCGACTACGCGTTTGTAGCCTTCTGGAGCATTGCTAACTATCGCCCTCATCCCTCCTTCACGCTTCCATATTTCCCTCGCCATCGTCCTGCAGGTTCTGCTCTCGTCCATTCGCTCTTCCGGCTCCTCACTCGTTCTTGTTCCTCGTCCTTATTCAGTTGATGATTTGTTTGCTATAGTTATTCTGCCTTCTCCGTTCCAATATCCAACTCTTGCTGCTCATCTTCCGTCGTCATGTCCCATCATCTCTCCCTCAAAATGGCTTCGCGGCGCAAGATGTGATTGACACTCGTGTTCCTGCTCAGCATCGTGCTCCCGCTCGCTTCCGTCATCATCCCTGTCGTTTTTGTTTCGCTTACCACTTATCCTCATCCTGCGTCCTCATGTTATTATTTGCGCTTAGTTGGATAGCCAGCATGTGTGTTTTAGCCACTTTGCAGCGAGATGCAAGTGGGAACGGATGCGCAAATCAGAGCGCGTCGGCTAACACGCCATGGTTAGCAGGGAAAATGGGCAGGACCAGGTTGGAACGCCGAGGCGGAGCAGGGGGAAAACCAGGATCATGAGGAGCACGACGGGCAGGTATAGGTTGCGAAGAGATGAATGAGAAGAGACACAAGAAACCCAACCCTGAGACCACGGGACGTACATCGATTTTTGGCGTGGGAACGTCGCGCCTTCTACAGCAAAACCATCGAAACCCAGGGCACCCTGGAGGCCAGCAGGGTACTTCTTGACATGGGCCTCCACTGCACCTTCCTGGAAAAAACATGGCCGCAACGTGACTTCAACAGCTTGAGGCGGCCACTGGCGCAGCTCAAGGGAAAATCAAACTAAATAAGTGACCCCCCATGCATCTTCCGGGGCTGTCCGAGAGCCTGGCCTCAACAGAAAAGTGGACGCGGGTACAAACCAGCCACCGAGAGTGAACAAGGACGACGTGAAGCGGAATAATGAAGAGCGGGAGGATGAGGAGGAGGAGCAGGAGGGGGATGAAGGCAGGAGGCGAAGCATGAGAATCAGTCAAGAAAGGCTGCATGAAAACGGTGAGGACGCAAGAGAGGACGATGAGAAACACGGATGAGGTCCTCGTCCGTGGTCCTCATCGTCCTCTCCTGCGTCGGGAGGAGGCCCAGCGCACAACATAAGAAGCCGCTGCGACATACAATCGACACACGGCTCGGCTGTGGCGGACGGTGCACCCGGCCGCCATTCGAGCAGCACGCGCCGCTTCGACACTGTCGTCTGTCGTGCTGGGGATGCGTGCGCCCGCACAGTCATCGTAGGGGCTTTCCTGGCCAAGGCGGGCGTCGGCCAAGAACAAAGCACCCCGACCTGGATCGAAGGAACGGCCTGGAAACCAGAGCCCCTCCTGAGCCTGAAGCGGCCCTCACTTCGGCGCACTGACCGTACTCTCCCAAGCTCCCCAGCGGGGAGCAGCACCTCTGCCGGCCCCAGGCGAGCTTCAGCCGACCGACGGGAGCGGGCGACCCGGGCGGCCTCGATGGCACCGCCGCCGCCCGCGCCGAGGCCCTCGGAAGCCAAGCGCGCAGCACTCCTCGGCAGGGGACGAACGGCAACGGCAGGCGACCGCGCGGCGGCATCGGTGCGCAGGACCTGTCGGACTTGTGCGTCGGCGTCTTCGGCGGCAGGCTCGCCGCACGCTTCTCGAGGAGGAGGGCCGCCCGGGGCTGCGCGGAGACCGCGGCGCCCAGCGCGCAATGGACCAGTACGCGCTCGGCACCTCTAGGTGCGCGCAACTGCCGCGCTTCCTGCGCCGCGTGTTTGTTAGATCGGGCATGTCCCCCTACAGGCTGATTCTGGACGAAAACAGAAATCACTCCAACAATAATCAAACACTCTTCAAAAATAGTAAGAAAATCGTCCCCAGGCTGTTTTTCAACCCTTTTTGAGTTTTTCCTCCCGTAAGGGGACATGCCCGACTTAAGCCGCGGGTCCTTCGCCAGATGCTCTGGTACGCATGTGTTTCTTGACACGCCGAGTGGCATGATTGCACACCGCATTCAGTAAGCGGGCAGGTGCAGATGGGATTGAGGCATTCTTCCAGCTTGCGCTCTCACGAAGCACCCTGTCGCGGGTCGGTGGGCGAGGAAATGGGGCCAGCCCCGCGCGCCTTGGCAGAGGACGGGCCCGAAGGGTGCAACGGCCGCGGCGGGCCCCTCTTCGGCGCCGGCGGCACGCGCTTCGAACTCGAGCCCCAGTGGCGGAGGAGGAGGAGGAGGAGGAGGAGGAGGAGGAGGAGGAGGAGGAGGAGGAGAAGGAAGAGCAGCATCATGTGCAGCCGGGAGGAAGAGCGGGGGGGGTGGGGGAGGAGAGCGACGAGCGTCCACTGATGTATGCCGTTCTCGCAGCGCTCGCCCGTCTCTTGCCACCACTGCTCGCTCTCGGCGGGGAGCTCGATGTCCTTGACCTTGCAGAGACAGCAAACAGAAAACTCTGCGCTCTTCGGAGCAAGCGCAGGACAGCCCGCCGCAAACGCTGCTTCTTTGACACGTACGGGTGGGTCGCGGGAGGGTTGTCGGCGGGTCGTGCGATGGGGGCCGAACACGCGTGTTCTCCAGAGCTAATGTGAAGTCGGGCGTGCCCCCTACAGGCGGTTTGTGGACGAACGATAAAACATGGTCAAAGCATACAGAACATGTCAAACCATCGTCCCCAGACTATGTATGGACTATGCCTGCAGGGACAGGCCCGACCGCAAGCGCTGCCTCTGCCAAGACCGTGCGGGTGGGTCGCGCGCGTCGGCCAGCGCACCGCACGGCGGGTCGCGGCGCAGTGGCCGCGCCTGCGTCGCGGGGCGCGTCGTCGCAGGTGGGCCGCGCGTCGCGGGGCGAGGCGCGGGGAGGGTCACTTTGGGCGACCCGCAATTTGGACGCCCGAAATGGGTACGGAAAAAGTGGGCACGATGCCCAACAACAAGTGTTGTCCCAAACCAACAGCCGCCGCTGTTGGGCAGGCGGCCTTCTGTCTCAAATGGACACAGGCCGCGGCGGCGCGGACAGCGAGTCCAGATCAAAATGCACAGGAACTGCTGTTGGGCATCGTGCCCATCCTTTCCTTACCCATTTCGTTCGTGCCGACACAAGGGGGTCCAGCTGCCAAGGGGTGGTGCAATAGATCTGGGGCAGCTGTCTTGTAAATGCACCGCGCCGGAGAATGGTGTTGCGCTGTATCGCAACTCGTGCACTGCACGCGAAAGTCCAGCAATACATTTCCGCCCCAGAAGGCATTGCACGCCCCAAATTTATTGCAACCCCACAAATTTATGACACTAAATCTACTGCACCAGCCCCTTGTCGCTGGACCCCTTTTTGCGTTAACTCGAATTACGGGGCGCGGCTGGCAGCATCCGTGTAAGACCGTTTCCCCCCCCGCCCTGATTTTCTTTACGCTGCTTTCACCTCCGGGACTCGCAGTCAGACTTCAACTCAGAGGACCCCGTTTCGGGAAGCTGGTGGGGTGCTTCCGACCACCTACCTTGTCGGCCCATGAGTACGTGCCGCTGAAGTCGCTCCGGAATCTGTTGCGCCATGATGTGCCGTAATAATCGTGCACTCCCATATTGACGCTCTCTGCCGCGACGGCTAGACCTGACGAGTCAAGCATCGCCAGCTGATCACGGATCTTGCGATCCATCGTGCTATCAGATTCGCCGACGCTCCAGAAAACATTCAAGCTCATATTCTGCGCTGGAGTGGCGCCCCCGCACGTCGGCTCTCTACCGCGATGATAGCCGCGATTGGGATGCACCACGAGGCTGGTCGGATCGTCACAATTTTCACCCCCGTCGAGGACCCGGCAGTATTTCCAGACTGGGGGCCTTATGGAGTAGGTGTCAGGCGGCATTTTGCTCATTGCGCATGCTGTATACATCCACGGAAGGAAAACAGGGCGCTCTCTACTGCTGCTGTGCTCTGAGTCGTCGTCGAGGCACATCCTTTCCATCACGTCCTCTGTTCGGTTCTGACACATCGCATCGTCGAGGTCGAGTGTGGCATCCGATGCTTCCCGCCTGGTGTTGCCATCTGTTGGCCTACTCAGGGAGAGTGAGCTGGCAAGCTGCACTGAAACGGCACAGCTGCATGCCGCAATGGGAATCCTCCAGGCCATGGTGCAGCTGAGAGTCGTACGCTTCAGTATGGAATGGTTATGCACATGTGTGAAGCCGAAACGCTGCGGAGGAGATTGCGGACCGCAGCCGCACGCACGCTGAACGTATTAGACAATGAAAGGCCGAGCGAATGAGGCGCGGAGCGAAGAAGGCGGCGGAGGATTGAACGATTCGTTGCACGAATCCGCATGCCTGCCTGGGGCCTCATGCCGCTCCGATGTCGATGGCAGGTGGGAGCGCAAGGGAAAATGCGACTCGTGGACGGTTGCGCTCGCCGTCCGCGGAGACATCTGGATTCGAAGGGGCGGAAAGACTGGCGGGTAGATTGGCGACCTGAAGCCGACAAGAAGCACCCCGCCACACAGCTGCTCGTAGCTCCCCACCCGCGTCGCACCCGCGTCTCCTCTCCCTTCGCTTCACACCTCCCCCCTCCTCCCTCTCTTTCTTACTACACACCAGTACGAGCACACACAGTTAGAAGACGGATGACACATGGACGATACACACATCCACATACACGCACAGTCACACGCACGCACATAACGCAGGAACGTGCGCACGCATGCTAAAGAGAATGGGCCAAGGCTCGCTCAAATACACACCTTGCCATATGCACACACAGCAAACAAAACGCGCACGCACTTGTACGTCTTCAAAGACACGTGCGACGCCTGGCGGGCGTGGCACTTTCTCGACACCGGAAGGGGTGTGCAGAAGGTGCGGGTGCTATCCGCTGTTGGGTCGCAAATCGTGGCAGGCGCGGCACTCACTCGACAAACCACGACGTGTGCGAATACGCATGCAGCTGCTACACCTTCCTGTACGGGGATACCTGCAGAAAGATTACTGCCCCTGTCCGCTACACCAACAGGTCCTATCTGACCCTCTGGCGAAAACGACCACCCGCTCCTCTCTGCCAACGTCGACTCGGGTGTATTATTAGGTCGGGCCTGTCCCCCTACAGGAGGATCTGGGGCGAAAAAATGAAAAAATAAAAACAGACCCCCCAAATACCCTAAACATATTCCAAACATACTCAACAAATGGTCCCCATATTAGTTGTGGACTATTTTTGAATATTCCTCCTGTAGAGGGACAGGCCCGACTTGAGTGTATTGCGCGGAATGTGCTGGTCATGGCAGTGGTGCAGGTGCTGTGGATGGAGCAGGGCCTGGGAACCACGTTGGGCGATGAATCGGCGACATCGGCGTGGAGAGAATCGGGCTCCGCATCGAGCCGCATCGTCGATGCATTGACGATGCGGCGCGATCCGCCGACCCCATCTACTGCGACCCCATCTAGGAGGCCCAAATCTCTCACAAGAAAGCGGATCCTGGTGTATACGGGACCTTGGTGTATACATTCCTTGTTGCTTCCACAGGAAAACGGGGAAACATGTAAACACCACACCACCCCGAGGTCGTCCCCGACCCTCAAAAAAGTCCTGGGACTGAAGACCACCTGCCACTGGTAATGTATATGCTCCAGTTTCCGAGTTGATGGCGCAGGGCCTGGGAACCGCGTTGAGGGTGGGCAGGTGAGGCACAGACGGGCCAGAGGAGGAGGAGGAGGAGGAGGAGGAGGAGAGGAGGAGGAGGAGGATAAGGGCTCCTCCTCCTCCTCCTCCTCCTCCTCCTCCTCCTCCTCCTCCTCCTCAGAAGGAAGGGCGCCGAGGCCCAGATGGATGGCACAGGGCCTGGGCACCGCGTTGCGGGGGGGGGCGGGCGAGGCACGGCACGCGCAGCGCGAGAAGGGGGCGCGGCGGGCTCCTGGCTGCAGCCTGGCCGCGGCGGCCTCCTGCGGGTCAAGGGGCCCAAGGACACATAACGAAATAGATACACAAATGACAAGATTCGCCTTATGTCGGGCCTGTCCCCTACAGGGGGAATTTCGACGAAAAATAAAAAATACCCCAAACATAATCAACAAATAATCCAAAAATAGTCTGGGGACTATTTTTTGAGTATTTGTTGACCTTCTTGGGGTATGTCTGGGGCATTTCTTATTTTTCATCGAAAATCCCCCGTAGGGGGACAGGCCCGACCTAAGATTCGCCATATTTTCAATATGTTCTGGGTTTCCGTCTTCCCCCCACTTCCGACATTTTCCCACATCTTCCGGGGGGAGTCGACGATTCCTTGTGTCTGTGTTTTTATCCCTCCTGAGAGGTGGGGGATGCTGCCGGGGTCGGTGCAGGGGAGCTCGGGGGCGGCGACAGGGGCGAATAGCCGGGGGGCGGGCGTTGCACGCATTCGCCTGGGAGCCTCACCGAAGGCAGGTGCCATCGGCGCCCCTGGATACATGTCTGGCTCGCCCCTGGGCTATTCGCCTCTGTCGTCGCCTCCGAGGAGCGGGGGGGACGGAACCGTATCCGAATCTCAGTGACAGGGGGTCAGAGCAACAGAGTCGGAGGAGGGGGTGCATGGGCAAGGGTCAGGTCGGGCATGTCCCCATGCAGGCGGATCTAGGACGAAAGAAATAACATCCGCCGATCTGGCGTGTGCGTTTCTGAGAGCGTGGACTTGAGCTCGCTCAAGCTTCGCTCTGCAATGGGGGGGGTGACGCCATTCCCGACGCATTTAGTGCTCGGGGGCGGGGGGGCCCACAGGCCCCCAAGAAGCCCACAGTAGGTTCTGGAAGGGGGGGAGGGGGGCGTCATTCCCGACGCATTTAGTGCTCGGGGGCGGGGGGGGCCCACGGGCCCCCAAGAAGCCCCCAGGAGGCCTCAGAAGGCCCCCAAGAGACCCGAAAGAGGCCCCGAGAGGCCCCAAAACGACCCCCGAGAGGCTTCCCTCAGGTCCCTTGCTCAATCCCCCGCGCCTCAGTCCTCAAGCCTGAGGGTTCTTACGGCAGGTTCGTGTCGTGTCGACCCTGGCGTTGGTTCCTGACACCGCGCCGGATCTTTCAACCTTGAACGATCGGCCGCTGCCGCAACGTCCGATCGTTCCACATCGATCGATTGTGGATCGCCGGCGGCGTTCAACCTTGAACGCCCGCGCTGGGGTCGCCGCTGGTCGACACGACGCAAACCTACCGTAATGGGACCGGACCCCAAGCTCTCAAATCTCTTGAGGCTGCCCGCGCGCCCTCTGGGGCCCCCAGACTGTTCCCGCATGGCCCGTTCGAGCCCAAGAGAGGCCCGAGACGGGCGAACAGGGCCCCCAGACGCCCGCAAGACGGCCCAAGAAAGCCCCGAAGCACCGAACGATCGGTCCAGGACGACCAAGACTGCCCCATGGCCATCACCAGGATAAACATTATCACAATCGTCACCGTAATCATCATCATAAGAATCATCATCAACATCAACATCAACATCAACATCAGCATCAACATCATCATCAGCATCGTCGTCGTCATCATCATCATGAACATCATCATCATCATCGTCATCATCGAAATCATCGTCATCATCATCATCGTCATCATCATCATCATCATCATCATCATCATCATCATCGTCATCGTAATCGTCATCGTCATCGTCATCATCATCGTCATCACCATTTTCCGGAGTGCCCCGGGTCGGCGGCACTGGCCGCAGGCCAGCACAATAGTCACAACAGACTCCAAAATGGTAAAACATAGTCAAGCAATCGTCCCCAGATTAATTTTAGACTATTCTTAAAGATTCCTCCTGTAGAGGGATAGGCCCAACTTAAGGCAAGAGCCGAGGCTGATGCGGGAGCGAGGCGGACAAGACGCTGCAAGAAGGACCTGGGCTCAACAAGGGGCTCTGGCACTCGGGCCGGTCCTTGCGTTTGGGTGTGGGGACCCGTCCGTGGGCGAGGCGTGCCGTGGCATGCAGGGTCCCATCGCTCCAACGTTTTTCTTGAGCGGTCCTCCCGGTATCACGGCGGCTGCAAGGCGTAGAAGAGGAGGGGGAATAGGAAGAGGAAGTGTAAGAGGAGGAGGAGCGGGAGGATGAGCAGGAGGAGGAGGAGGAGGAGGAGGAGGAGGAGGAGGAGGAGGAGGGGGGCGAGGAAGAGGAAGAGGAGGAGGAGGAGAAGGAGGAGGGGGGCAAGGAAGAGGAAGAGAAGGAGGAGGAACGTGTCTGGAGAACGCGTGCGGGAGGTGCGAGCAAGGCCAGGCAGCGCTGAGCAGCCCTTCTCCCAGGGAGGCACACGGGAGACCTAAAACTCAAAAGGGCAAGGATGGAAACCGAGCGGAGGAGTGGGGAGGGCGCGGAGGAGGAGAAGGAGCAGCGGGAGGGGAGGACGGAGGAGGAGGGGGCGGAGGATGAAGAATCGGAAGAGGGCGAGGGAGGACAGATGCACAAAGACTAACCCCCTTCCCTCCCGAGCCAGACCACCTCTGGGACGAACGGAAGGGTCCCCCTATCGATTGGACAGTCGCGACGGACCCCTGACTGCCTCGCTCCACGACTCGGCTGCACGGCCCCCGTCGCACCTCGGCCGCGCCCCGGGGTCGGCCCCGAGCTGCAGCAGCCCATGCCACCGCTCTGAGCGGGTCTCTGTGGCGCTCCCGCACGTAGTCTCTCTCTCTCTCTCTCTTTCTCTCCCTTTTTTTCTCCTTCTCCTCCTTCACCTCCTCGTCCCTCTCCTCATTGTCTTCCTCCTCCTCTTCTCCTCCTTCTCCTCCTCCTCCTCCTCCCATTGCCCTTGAGCAGGCGCGCTAGCTGGAAAAACTATTGAATTCACAGTTTTCCCGCCTGCGCGCGTGACGGCGAGCGGGCTTCCTCATCATCTCTCGTCCTCCCCCCCCCTCCTCCTCTTCCTCCTCTTCCTCCGCCTCCTCCTCCTCCTCATGCTGCAAGCGAGCAGCTGCGCTTTCCAGGCGTCTGCGCTGCACTGCGGGCGGAGATTCGGTCAACATCCCACATCTCGACAAGAGGTTCGATGCCGACGCCGATTGCATGTGCAACTCCGTCCCGGATACGGCTCTGGCAGGTTGCTCCCCGAGAGACCAAGATACTATACCAGTTGCAGCTGTCAGCTGGGAGCTCTGGGTTGCTTTTGCACAGGGATGAGACTGCTCT